TGATCACCTTATCTTAAAATGATGTTCCCAACTCATCAAAAGTCACAAACAGAGCTGGAGTAAAGCTCAGTTCCTAAGTCTAACTCTAGGGCTCTATTAAATTCTACGACACCGAGAGACTCAGTAAACAAGTCCCAATACATATGTGTAGCTCTGGAGCACCCCGTCCCCACCCCAATCCTCCCCAAACTAGCTTTTAAGATTTGATGTTGTTGTTAGTGAACACAAAGTCACCTTCAACTAAATGGAACAAAACATCATCTGGGCCAGTGCCATCCCACGGTCACTGGCATATTGGGCCACTGTGATCCAGAGGGTTTTCCTGGCTGATTTTCAGAAGTATGTCAGCAGGCCCATCTGCCTAGGCCATCTTAGTCCATTGAAACTTGTTCAACATGATGGCCACACTCAGGCGTCCACTGACAGATGGGTGGGAACTGCGCATGAAAACCCATGGCCAGCAATCAACCTGGGAAATTCTACCCCTGAGCTACCACTGCCCTCATGCGAAAAGACATAAATAGGACTAAAGGGGTCATTTTTAAGAGATCCAGGTTTCAATCCCAGGTCTCCTTCTTTCTGCTTACATTTTGTCATTTGCAAAGTGGAGATCATGTCAGGGCCATCATTTTGTGAAGATTGGAAGAGATATTTGTTAAGCCCTCCAGGCATAAAAGAAAGTGTACAATTAAATAGGGATTTAGAAATAACCTCGTCCCTCTACTCCAGAGCGACACACGACCTTGTCCTTAAACTTCAAGGGTGTTGATGCCATTCAATTACGCCCTGAAATACCATGGGACTTACGAGGTCTCACACACACATACGCACGCACGCACGCACACACCCCTTTCAGAAGTCAGGTAGGTGCCATGAAAATGTTAAGAAAGCTCTATCTTCTTTCATCTTGGTGTCTTATGCTGCCGTTTCCCCCTTACATTGCATTCCCAGATACAAGTGTTTGTATATAACAACATCATTCGCTCTACAAAGAGACCTGTTGTCTCAAGGCTTATATTCAGAATGTTGACAGTTGGTCTTCAGCCTGAGCTCCCCCAATTCACTACCGCCTGGATGTAGTGCTCGAACGGCAATCCTCCCGGACTGCACTGGATGGTGAGAGGGAGGACACAGGGCGGATGGCCTCGGCCAGTGGACGGCCTACAAGAGCCTGACCAATGTAGAAGCATTTCTTACTAACGTCCGGCTGAGTCTCAGCCTGGGTTCGCTCTCATTTTTCTCCAATCTAAAGCTTCTTCCGCTGTCCTTTTTGATTGCTCTCTTTTTTTTAAAAATAGAGACACAATTACCGAGAAATTAATGCTTGCAGGCGGGAGCTCTGATGGTATAGTGGGTTACACGTTGGGACGCTAGCCACACTGTCAGCAGTTCAAAACTGCACATCACTCTGCAGGAGAAAGATGAGGCTTTTTGCTATCGTAGAGGTGCACAGTGTCGGAAACCCATAGAGGCAGGTTTACTGTGTCCCATTGGGCCACTGTGATGGCAGACCCGATGGCAGAGTTGTTTTTTAAATAAGCACAGGCACCATCCCGAGTGGACAGCTCACATTCAGCTCCAGCCACATGCTGTCTTGTCCCAATTGGAACTGCCCATTTTTCAAGAGAAGCCAGGAATTCAGATGTGTGTATGAACTCTTGAATGTTGGCATGATGTCTGAGAGCCCTACAAAGGGCAAACATCGCGATCTCTGGCCAATAGAGCACATCCTCTAACCTTTGCAGGGGGTGGAGATGTGCATTCGCCCCGAGGGACTGATCATCGCAAGGCAAGGATGGTTACTGCCCACCTGAATGTGGCTTATGATGGACTGTTGTGTGCCACTAGGAACTAGACTATAAACTCTCTATGCTCTACTTGTCCTAAACACCAAAGGCCTTGTTCATTGAGTTGTTGTCCTCATGGCCCCTTGCTTCATCTCTAAAACAGAAATGAACATGTGATACTGGACATGGTGAAGCCATTTCAGCAAGCTGTCCTCCCTCTGCATACCTTGCAGAGTAGGCCACGAATACACCCTTCTGGAACTTAGCCATCACCATCTGTTCTTATGTTAGTTACAGGAACACTCGTGAAAGACAAAACAAAAGTAAATGTAATCTTGCAAGTGTTCCCCTGAAACACTTATTTGAAAAATCAAATTTGGGAGACTCCCGTGGATTAAGCCTCCATTGAATTCCTTCTGACCATTAACCAGAGATGGGACGGGTCTGGCCCTCATGCAGAGTGCTTGGGAGAGTGGAGTACTTGATCCAGTTAGCCAGCCTGGGAAGGGGCAGCCTCTCCTAGGAGCTTGCTGGGGGTGTCCTTGATGGCGATCACCTGATGAGGCATTACCTAGTCATGAGTCATGCCCTGACTGCCAGGGTCAGAAGGCCCTGAACCCCATTAGTAAGTTGTGTCTAGCATAATGTACGTGTCCAAATCATGGTCCTGGGCCCACTTCTGCAGTCCCACTGTAACTGTGACCTGCTGCCGACCATGTGCTTGTGACAGTTTCCTCTGCACCTTTTAAATTTATTTTTATTATTTTAAAATCATTTTATTGGGGGCTTGTACAATGCTTATCACAATCCATACATACATCCATTGTGTCAAGCACATTTGCACATTTGTTGCCATCATCATTCTCAAAACATCTGCCCTCCACTTGAGCACCTGGCATCAGCTCCTCATTTTCCCCCCTCCCTCCCCATTCCCTCCTTCCTAATGAACCCTTGATAATTCACAAGTCATTATTATTTTGTCATATCTTACACTGTCCAACGTCTCCCTTCACCCACTTTTCTGTTGATCGACTTCCAGAGAGGAGGTTACATGCAGATCCGTGTAATTGGTTCCCCCTTTCTAACCCACTTTCCCGGTATCACCCCTCTCACCACTGGACCTGAAGGGTTCATCTGTCCTGTATTCCCTGTGTTTCCAGTTCCCATCTGTACCAATGTACATCCTCCGGTCCAGCTGAATTTGTAAGGTAGAATTGGGGGAATAGTTGGGGAGGAGGAAGCATTTAAGAACTAGAGGGAAGTTGTATGTTTCCTTGTTGCTACACTGCCCCCTGACCGGCTCATCTCTTCCCCGAGACCCTTCTGTAAGGGGATGTCCAGTTGCCCACAAATAGCCTTTGGGTCCTCACTCTGCACTTCCCCTTATTCACAATGATGTGATTTTTGATGCTTGATCCCTGATCCCTTTGACACCTCGTGATCACACAGGCTGGTGTGCTTCTTCCATGTGCACTTTGATGCTTCTGTGCTAGATAGCCACCTGTTTACCCTCAAGCCTTTAAGACCCTAGACACTATCTCTTTTGATAGCTGGGCACCATCAGCTTTCTTCGCCACATTTGCTTATGCCACCATTTGTCCTCAGCCATCATATCGGGAAGGAGAGCACACAATGATATGATTTTTCCTTCTTTGATGCCTGAAACCTGATCCCTTCGACACCTTATGATCACACAGGCTGGTGTGCTTCTTCCATGTGGGCTTGGTTGCTTCTCAGCAAGATGGCCGCTTGTTTATCTTCAAGCCTTTACGACCTCAGATGCTATATATTTTAATAGCTGGGCACCCTCAGCTTCCTTCACCACATTTGCTTATGCACCCATTTGTCTTCAGCAATCATGTCAGGAAGGTGAGCATCATGCAATGCCAGTTTAATAGAATCTGCACCTTCTTTAAAGTCCCCAAACCCTTGGATGCCTTTATGACCTGTGTTAATGTTCTCTCCCATCTGGATGCTATATCCTTGTCCTCTTTAAGACTTAATAAAGCTTCTCCTTAAGCTATCATTAAAGATTTGAGAGACTGCTGAGACTGGCATCCTGTCCCCAAACCTTCATTGCCATTGCCAAATGGGCCTCTGGAACGAAACGAGAAACAGAGGTGGAAACGAGAACTCCATTAGATTATTCTTGCCAGAAAGTAAAATCTAGCGATAACTTTTCACCTTTAAAAAATACAATAGAAACTCGTCACTATATCAGCAGAATCTGTAATTGAATAGTGCAGCGACACGGCAGAATTGCAACATCATAAGGCTGGAAGAGTGTACCCACCTAAAGGAAGCATGAAGACAAGTTCCTCCTTCTATTGCCTGGCCAGGCTCTGCGGCTATATACCTAGTCCATGGCCCCTACTTACAGGTGGAAAGTACACTGAATAGTCTAATTCATATTCTTGTTGACTTTGTCTCTGCTCACTCAAAATACATGTTTGTGTCTGTATATGGCTCTCTTCCCCACCCCCAGTCCCAGACTTTGAAAATGTACGTTATATGTTTTCCTGCAGCTTAACATTTGTCTTCTAATACCTTGGAGTTGTGCTCAGTTGGCTCAGGTTGATCTACTGGAGAATGGCCTAAACTTTCGCGGTGACAGTGTGTTGTACAGCATCGACAGCCCGGACTTGAACAATGGTCTGTGGAAGCACTGGGCTGTCCTGAGGAACAGCAGCTGAGCCCCTCGTTTGCTTTGCATTTTAACAGATCTGTGGCAGCTGGGGTCATTACAGAGTTTGGACCTGTCCTTCAATAGGATATCACGAATTGGTTTGACCGACTTTCAGAACTGCCTACACCTGGAGCGCCTCTACTTAAAGAGCAACAAGATCGTCAGAATTCACCCAGAAGCCTTCAGGAATCTCAAAAAATTGCAGGTTCAAAAATAATTTTTACGCTATTCCAAACCCCCAAACATAAGAGCAATTGCATTAAAAGAATGTTTCTACCCAAGAATGTCTTCGTGCCCGGTAGGACTGGCTATACGTAAGAAAAGATGTAGATTTTAAGATGCCCTGGAAGCTGGCGATGGCGCAGGACGAGGCAGTGTTTTGTTCTGTTCTGCAGAGAACCAACGCAAGTCACCCAATACAAGAGCTGAAGTCTCTTTTTTTGCCTTAAAATCAAAGGCCAGAGGGATGGGCGTGCTCTTTAAATATGATACTCGACTGCATGGATTGGCACATTTATTTTCTAGATCAAATTAAATTCAACTCAAGTTTCCACTTACCAGATAGCAAAACAGTAAACCTTAGTTCTCAGTGAGGCTCCCTCCCTAAGGCGTAAGACCGTCAATTTGCCAGAGGTCGTGTTGTCTCTGGAACACTTGGGGACTGCTGAGATGTCAACCACCCAGGACTGCATGGGCCTCTGAAGGTGGGTAGCGCTGCCATTTCCATGCCCCCAGTAGATTGCAGTAGTATTAACAATAATGGTCACAGTTCACATTTGGGTAGCACATACCACATGCCACATGTGCTTCTTGAGAGGCTCCGTGGCACCATTTGGAGCCACAGAAGCTGTATCTTCGGACGGGATTGAGGGTGAGGATCTCATCGCCTTCAAGCCCTACTCTTGGCTTGGCAGCTTCAGCCCCTGCCCTTTCAAATGCGTTCTTTCATGGCTTCCTCGGAGGGGAGATATTGAGAACGCCCCCTTCCTCGGTCTTTTGTTGTTGTTGTTATTGTTGTTAGGTGCCATCAAGTCCGTCCCAACGGATAGCGGCCTTGTGTACAGCAGAGAGAAACTGCACCCGGCCCTGCACCAGCCTCGCGGTTATTCCAGTGTTTGAGCCCATTTGCAGCCACTGTGTCAACTCCTCCCCTTGACAGTCTTCCTTTTTCCCCCTCTAACCTTATTGGTAAGGTTTTCAGCGGCTACGTCCTCTGCAGTGGACAGCCAATTCCAACTTCATTGGCTGTTTTTAGTCTGGAGGTTCTGCCGAAACCTATTCACTTTGGATAACTTGCTAGTATTGAAAATACCGGTGACATAACTTCCAACATACAGCAACACGCAAGCCACCATGGTACAGAAAACTGACAGGCTAGTAGTGGCACAGGTGGCTAGTAGCCGTCATATCACACAGCACTGATGTGGACTAGGAGTGCTGGTAATGCGGTGAGCTAGATACTCACTAAGCTGCTAGCCACAAGGTCAGTGGTTGAAATCCATCAGATGCCCTAAGGGAAAGAGATGAGGCTTTCTAGTCTCATAAAGATTCAAAATCTTGGAAACCCAGGGGGGGCGGTTCTTCCCTGTCCTGTAGGATCACTGTGTGTTGGAATAAACCGGATGGCAGTCATTTTGATTTGAGTTTTTATACAGACGCATGATGTTCCCAATTGTAGGTCATGTTGTCAAGCATAGTCACAAGATGAGACTCCTACCTCTTCACACCCAACCAACCCCACTGGCTCTTTCAACAAAAGATCTCTCCTAAGCCTTCCCTCTCTGAGGAGGGGGGTTAATGAATCTAGTGAGATGTGTAGACTCTGGAGCCAAGTCTACACCTCGTGTCCTCCACTCTCTACTCATACAACCCTGGGCAAGTTACCAGCTCTCCCTGTGCCTCACTTACCTCCGCTGTGAGCTGGCAAGAGTGTAGCTCCTTCCTCATAGATTTCTCTGAAAATTAAATGTCTTATCATATACACATGAGGAGCCCTGGTGGCATCGGGGTTACACGTGGGTTGCTAATCACAAGGTCAGCAGTTAGGAACCATCAGCCAACCTGAGGGAGAGGCCAGGCTTTCTACTCCTGTGAAGAGCGACAGGCTCAGAGACCCACAGGGGCAGTTCTACCTTCTCCTACAGGGT